TCCCCATTCCCAATTCCCCATTCCTGAGTCCCAATCCCCATTCCTGTGTCCCCATCCCCATTCCCAATTCCCCATTCCCGAGTCCCCATTCCTGTGTCCCCATTCCCATTCCCAATTCCCCATTCCTCAGTCCCCATCCCCATTCCCAATTCCCCATTCCCAAGTCCCCATTCCTGTGTCCCCATCCCCATTCCCAATTCCCCATTCCCAATTCCCCATTCCCGAGTCCCCATTCCCATTCCCCATTCCCGGCTCCCACGAGCCTCAGCCCACCGGGGCCTTCGCAGCCCTCCAGGGCAGGGATGCTCCAGGTCAGACCCCGCTTTCCTGGGAATCCACCTCGGTAAAGTTCAGCCCGGCTGGGCTCAGGGCTGCCCAAAAAGCTCAGGATTATGCCCAGAGCTTTCTCCTTCCCGGCTCCCGGAAAGCTCGGAGCTACAAAGGATTTCCTTGTCAGGGAAATGGAGCATTTTATAGGAATCTATAAATATCCATCCCAATCCTGCGCGGAATGTGGGAATTATCTCCAAGGAGGTTGGGGATGCGGGGCTGAGCCCGCAGCCCGAGGCTCCCGGAGATGTTCCCTGCACCGGGAAAACAGGACAGGGATGCTGGGACAGCAGCAGGACCCAAAACATGACCTGGGATCATCCTGGGATCACCCCTGGCCGTGGGCATGGCCACCTTCCATGGACCCGGCTGCTCCAAGCCCCAGGGACGTGGGAACAGCCGGGGTGGGAGCGAGGGACATCCAAGGGATGTGGAGAGGGGCTGGGATGTCCCCAGGGGAGCGGCAGTGGGGCCACGGGTCTGTCACAGAGCCACGGAATTGTTTAGCTTGGAAAAGCCCCTCAGGACCACGGAGTGCAACCATTCCCAGCACTGCCGGGGCCCCCATGGAATTACTGAGGTTGGAAAAGCCCTCCAAGGACATTGAGTCCAACCATTCCCAGCACTGCCGGGGCCCCCATGGAATTACTGAGGTTGGAAAAGCCCTCCAAGGACATCGAGTCCAACCATCCCAACCATTCCCAGCACTGCCGGGGCCCCCATGGAATTACTGAGGTTGGAAAAGCCCTTCAAGGACATTGAGTCCAACCATTCCCAGCACTGCCGGGGCCCCCATGGAATTACTGAGGTTGGAAAAGCCCTCCAAGGACATTGAGTCAAACCATCCCAGCCATTCCCAACACTGCCAGGGCCCCCATGGAATTGTTGAGGTTGGAAAAGCCCTCCAAGGACATTGAGTCCAACCATTCCCAGCACTGCCAGGGCCCCTGTGGAATTATTGAGGTTGGAAAAGCCCTCCAAGCCCTCCACGACTACGGAGTCCAACCATTCTCAGCACTTCCCCATTGAGTCCAACCATCCCAGCCATTCCCAGCACTGCCAGGGCTCCCATGGAATTACTGAGGTTGGAAAAACCCTCCAAGGACATCGCGTCCAACCATCCCAGCCATTCCCAGCACTGCCAGAGCCCCTGTGGAATTACTGAAGTTGGAAGAGCCTTCCAAGGACATCGCGTCCAACCACCCCAACCGTTCCCAGCACTGCCAAGACCCCACGTCCCCAGGTGCCACCTCCACACGGGATGGGCACTCCACCACTGCCCTGGGCAGCTTGCCAGGAAGGAATCTCCCCGCGCCGCCGCCCGGAGCACCCACCTTGAGCAGCTTGCAGCGGATCTGCGCCGAGACCATGTGGCTGTTGCGGAGGTTGCCCACGCGGAACATGAGCGTGAGCTTGCCGTCGCGCATGGAGATGGCGGCGTGCTCGCTGAACATCAGCGTCTCGGCCCTCTTCTTGGGCTGCGACATCTTGATGAACATGCAGCCGATCAGGAAGGCGTCCACGATGGAGCCCAGGATGGACTGGAAGAGGAAGAGGATGATGCCCTCGGGGCACTTGTCGGTGATGTAGCGGTAGCCGTAGCCGATGGTGGCCTCGGTCTCGATGAAGAAGAGGAAGGCGGAGGGGAAGTTGTAGACGTTGGCCACGCACGGGGTGTAGCTGTCGTCGTGCGCCTTGTTGAGGTCCCCGCGCATGTAGGCGATCACCCACCACATGGAGGCCATGAAGAGCCAGGCCACGGTGTAGGTGAGGATGAAGATGAAGAGGTTCCAGCGCCACTTGAGGTCCACCAGCGTGGTGAAGAGGTCGGACAGGTAGCGGCTGGTCTCGCCGCCCAGGTTGCCGTGCTGCACGTTGCAGCGCCCGTTCTTGTCCACGAAGCGCTGGCGCTTCCCCCGCGGGGCGCTGCGCGGCGGCGGCAGCCCTCTGCCGCTGGCCGAGGTGCTCACCACCTGGTACTCATCGCCCAGCTTGCGCCGCAGCGCCGACATGCTCCGCGCAGCCCCGCGCAGCCCCGCGCAGCCCCCGGCTCCCGAATAGGCCGGCAAGACCCGCGGAGCCGGCAAAATCCGCGGAGCCCCCGGTACCCGGCTCAGCCGGCAAGATCCGCGCAGCCCCCGGTACCCGGCTCAGCCGACAAAATCCGCGGAGCCGGCAAGATCCGCGCAGCCCCCGGCTCCCGAATCGGCCGGCAAAATCCGCGGAGCCGGCAAGATCCGCGGAGCCGGCAAGATCCGCGGAGCCGGCAAAATCCGCGCAGCCGGCAAGATCTGCGCAGCCCCCGGTACCCGGCTCAGCCGGCAAGATCCGCGGAGCCGGCAAGATCCGCGCAGCCCCGGTACCCGGCTCGGCCGGCAAGATCCGCGCAGCCCCCAGCACCCGCTCAGCCCCGCGCAGTCCGCGCAGCTCCGCGCACACCGCACGGCCCCGCACACCCCACAGCTCCGCGCAGTGCGCTCAGCCCCGCTCAGCTCCGCATCCCCCGCTCAGCCCCGCGCAGCCCGCCCGGCCCCGCCGCTCCGCGGCCGCGGAGCCTCCGCCCGGCGCCGCCGCCTCCCACGCGGAGCCGCCGGCAGCGGCCCCGGGCAGGGCAGCACCGCCCCGCGCAACGCCCC